CCATGAACTGAGTGATCATTTTGAAGGCTGTTTACTAACTGAACAGTCCACATTGAAGTTTCTCACAGCTACTTTACTGTGGTGTCAGCATTGTTTTCGCTCGAAACTGTCTATTCACTATTTGTTATCGGGATCTCCAAATCTTCAAATTGATCTGAATAGCTCAATTCAGTCAACTAAATTTATCCAGGCACACAAGTGGCACGCTCAAACCGCAAAGAACGAAATTGCCATCCTGCATTTCGATCACTGTGGTATGGTGGGTGAGATCCATAGATCAGAGTTGGTTATTTCTAACTTCTCACACTAAAATTCTGATTCATTGATGCTTGTAATTTCTCATCGTTATTCTGGATCGAACAGAATGGGAAATTATAAGTCTTGGTTGCATTATGTTCTCTGAGCTGGGTTGTTTAATCGTTAGGCAACCGGTATGTTATAATGATTTATTGACACTTGTAATTTAGAAATAGTACAGAATATTTGTAGCTCAGGTGGATGGTCTTGGTTGTATTGTGTTCTCTCAGCTGGATTATTTAATCGTGAGGCTTTCATCCTCTTTCTAGACAGCGACATCATCGGCACTAACTTCAGAATGAAGTGAGCTGTCAATATCTCTCCATGAGTGTTTTAGTAGCTTGCCTTGACGAAGCCGTGTATGACTGGTTGTTTCCTTTGATTGTCGTGTGATTGACTGTACAGATTTTCCTGTTGGCTGTCCCTCTGCTTGACCTCTGACCTTTCTGTCGTTTATCATCTTTCTTATTGGTTGATGGATTGGGTCTCTGTCTATGCATCTATTGATTGCTGACTGATTGACTGACCTGAATGCCAAGCTTCTAGGAATTCTCTGACATTCTTTGTGTTTACTCTGTTCAAAATTTCTGCATTATCGAAATTGAATTTATGTCCATAATTATTCTAAAGAAGAACGGCTACTCATGAAACATTATCCTGTACATCATCAACTAAAAAGTCATCCACAGAAATCAATAAATGCATCCTCCTACCGTACATAGAGAGTATATCAGAAATCACTTGGAAGTGGTGTGGCCGCTTCGTCAAGGCAAGCTACTACAACACTCATGGAGAGATATTGACAGCTCATTTCATACTGAAGTTAGTGCTGACGATGTCGCTGTCTAGAAAGAGGATGAAAGCTTCATGATTAAACAACGCAGCTGAGAGAACACAATACAACCAAGACCATCCACCTGAGCTACAAATATTCTGTACTATTTCTAAATTACAAGTGTCAATAAATCATTATAACATACCGGTTGAAAAGGGGTGGTTATCGTGCCCCAGTATCGTAGTGAATCATGTTTTGGCGTTTAAAGAGATGAATACTGGGTTCAAGTCTCAGTAGGAACAATATCACTCAGTGAAGTGTAGGTCCATCCGGCTGACGAATCTCAAATAGAACGAAACCGGTTACCTAAATCTCACTACAATCCACCACCAGCTTTTTTTATTCAAAAACTACACAGTTGAGAAGAATGTCAAAGCGAATCATCCATTTTGAGTCCATTGATTACTGCTCAGCATAAGAAGTGACGAACCTGAATTCAAACTCATATGAGATCATGAGTATGCGTTGTTAAGTTATGACAAAAAACTGGGAAGAAAAAGCAATTTCATCATATCTGCTTTCCTATGTTTAACTGGTTCATATTAGTCAGTGATGAATTCGTGAGAAAGAAAATTATCTTCATTGAATTGCTTTATATTGTTTTCAGTACATTTCTGATCCCACTGAAATCGCTTCCTTAATCAGTGGATTTCGACACCTGTCAATAAATTGATTGTCAAATTATCATTATTATTATTATTATTATTATTATTATTATTATTATTATCATTATTATTAGTCCCTTGGGTTCCTAATGGAACATAGGCATTCAGTAGCATGTCTCCATTACACTCTGTTCTATCGTATCTTTTGAACCTGGTTCCACGACAGCCCACAAACTCTCATTTCCTCCCCACACCATCTCCTCCATGTCACACTCACCTCCGACTCCCAACTCGTCGCTTCCCATGGAGGTTCCACTCCACAGTCTCGCCTGATGCATGATGTCTCCAGTCGGTCTTCTCAGTGTATGCCCAACCCATCTCCACTGCCTTCTGCATATTTGTTGACCAATACCTTCTTGGTCGGTTCGTTCCCAGAGCTCCTTGTTGCTTTTTCTTTCTGGCAATCCATCTGTGCTTCAGTAGCGAGCCAGCGTAAGCAGTTATTGATGAATGTCTGTAGTTTATTGGAAATCCCTTTCGTGACGCGCCAAGTCTCTCAACCATACAGAAGCACTGACTTGACTGGATTGGTGTTGAAAATCCGAATCTTGTTCCACATGCCGAGTGCAGTGCAGAAGATCTCCACACTGGTTTCACGCTAATGAACGCCTGTCTTGCTTTTCCGATTCTGACTTTGACATGCTCGTGTGTGCCTGTGCCACCTGTAGTTGAAACAGTGATGCCTAGATAGGTGAAGGAGGTTACTTCCTTTAAGGTTCTCCCGTTCATGGTGACTGGAGTTTGTTGTTGTTGTTGTTGGAGTTGTTGGTTGTGTATCTTCATCACCTCTACCTCTGTCTTCTCTATATTCACTTGAAGTACCGTCTTCGCTGCCTTGCCCTACCCTGCCCTGCACTGCCCAGCCTCTTCTATCAACTTGTTAGTTTTCACCTGTACATCTTCAAGTTTGTGCTACAAGACATTAGACACAAGTCATCGTTGGCGAAATCGAAGTCTTCTAGGTTCTTTTCCGCAGTCCAGCCAGCGTATCCCCCTCTTCTCAATGCTCCTCACTGTTTGTTGCATGATCCAGTCTAGTCGACCACAATCAGGAATATCATGGGTGATAGTAGACAGCCATGTTTCACTCCTGTCCCCTGTCTTCACTTCACTTCAAGGGAATCACTGAGCTTCCCATTGTGAATTAGTTGGCATGTGGCATCTTCATATAGGTGTTGTTGAATGAGGTTGATAAAGGTTTGCGGTACTCCGTAGTAATGAAACAGTTTCCAAATTACCTCTTGGTTGACGCTGTCGAAGGCCTTCTCAAAGCCGATAAAGTTGAGGTAGAGTTGATTTGACTGCCATTCTATACTCTGTTGTATGATGATGCGAATCGTTGCAATTTGGTCCGCACATGATTACATTGATTGTCAAAACTATAGTTAAATAATTTAGCGTACAGTTTTCCAGTTCCGAAATCCGCTAATTATGTATAAAACTGTCACCACCTCATATGATGGTGATGGGATGGTGGTGGGATGTGAACGTTGAATTGACAGATAAACTCAACGTAGAACCTCTTACACAGGTGTATTGGCTCGAATCGCTGCACTTCACAGTAGTTCACAAACAACAACTTGATAGAATGAGAGTGATATCAAAGTAGACAAAGTTATGTGAGAGAATAAATAATCTGAGGATGTCAAGGAGTGAATATGTCTGCGTCATTGTGACCGATTTTCAGACATGTTGTAGGGGTGCGTGTGACAATGCTGTAAGGTTTGATCAACCCTACTTAACTTGATGTGCTCTAGTACCTACTTAACCAGTACTTTACCTAACGTGTAAGTATTGATAACAAAACACAAATCAAAAGAGCTGATACGCAATATATTTGAAGGAGCTATGTATTTAATTAAAGTAAATGTAATAATAATGAATGAGGGAAAAGTTTAATCAACTTATCTGACTTGTAAGGGTGAACTAGGGACTCGGAGTGCATCCGTGGTAACCAGCACAATGGAGTGCAAAATGGCATCCAAGCCTACTGGAATGCATGCTCGTTAAAACAAAACTTAAAACACCATACGCATCCGAACGTGAGCTAGAGATTTATTTAGTTAATTTAATTTAAGCTATTTATTTTAGCCCTAGTTATATTTTGGTGCCAGGAAGGTGCACTACAATGTCATCAACAGTCAGTATTCAACCACTGATTCATTTTTTCTCGAGAACCCCATCCAGGAAGTTTACATCTCCTCATACAAATTAGATCAACCGTAAGAGACTTCATACACTGGTGCCACGTTTTGTTTTGGTCAATATAAACCTTCTTTCAACTTAATCCAGCTTCTTACAGCATGCCATGTCAAGGTAGGCGGTGGCTTAGCATTCATAATGCTGTTAACATTGACACTGTAATTTTAACGTTTATTAAGCTAAACAAGTGTGATTGCTGTTTTTAGAAACAGTGACAGTAGCGTTGGTCGATGTGCAACAGATTCGAAAGTTGAAGAAATAAATGATGATAAGATCACGACAACAATAGCCTTGGCTATAAACATCCAGTCCATAATTGCAAGCACTGTTCTAAAAGATGTTAAATGCCAAGTGAGATTTAATCATTATATAAGTAAGTTGTAATATCATCTCAGTATGTTGAGAATATTCTACTGAAGAAGCTGTAGCGAAACGTTCAGAAAAATCTTGGTTTTTTTAAAAATTTGTTTTCAAGTTGTCATTCTACAGTTCAATAATCATGTGAATTGTTATTGTTGTTGTTTTACCATCTTAATTTTGTCTGCTTGTGTATGTTTATGTGTATGTGCATATACTTGTATGTATTTGCCTTTCGTTTGGTTGGTTGATTTATCAGTCTGTCAGTGTATTTAGCTGACTGGCGGTTGGTCAGTTGGTTGGTTGGTTAGACTGTTTTTGGTCTGAAAATTTTTCGTCCCTAAGATTATTATTATAGGGTTAGACACAACCAAATCATTCCAACCAAACGACACACCAAGCCATCAATAATACCATACACCACTATAACATAACAGTCTTCCTTAGAATTGATTGGTTGATGTCAGACAAGACAATGGAGGAGAAAAAAATCAATAGACATAATTTAAATTCTAATATTTCAAATAGGTAAACACACATTAACACCAACAGTACGATAGAACAATTATTACATCTACCATTGCAAACGATAAGTTATTGAACACTTTTTTGGACTAAATTAACATTAATAAAACAGAATAATAATGACACCTTATCCTCAAGGGGATCCGGATATTTGTAATAATAACACATTGTCAACAAGTTCAAATGATTACATAATACATACATCATCTATTCGACTACCATTCATCGCTGCTGGTTTAGTTAATGCTGCAGTAGCAAATCTATTAAATGAATTATCATGTCGTTTCTTTGAAATGGCTATCATTACACCAAAAATTAATGATGAGACGAAAAAATTGACAGAATATGAAAAACTTGAAAATAATTCAATTCCTTTAAAAACAATGAACAGTAGTAATGATGTATCTATATTTTCATCACAAACACAAATCACTACTGATAATATGGAATTAGAAAAGGCTACAGAGAAAAAGATGACAATGGATATCAATCAAGTTATTCCCTCTGATGAACATATGTTAACTTCACAATCAATTCATGAAAATATATTTACTACATCGATTACTTCATCTATTTCAACAAATAGATTACTTGATAACTCTTTAACATCTTCAAATTTTCATACAGAACCAATAAAAATTAAAGAAGAATCACAGGTAGATTTTCCTGATAATGATGATGATGATAATAATAATAATATAATCGATAATAGTAATAATTATATTACTACTACACAACATACTAATAATTTTTTAAATAATCAAATAAGTGAACAATATCATGAACAGAATGAAAATCATCTATCTGGAAATGAATTACAATCTAATTTAACACGTCTTACTACAATTGATTATTTAAAACGTCATCCATGTACATATCGTGGTTGTAATAAAGTATTCTTTAGTCGTACAAGTCTTATTTATCATAAACAAAGTCATTCAATTGATAAACCATATATATGTAAATATACAGATTGTGGAATAACATTTTCTAATGAAACATTATTAAAAACACATAATCAATTACATGAATCAAAACAATTACGTGAAAGATTCTCATGTAGTTTATCAGAATGTAATAAAGTATTTGTTACACGTGAAAGTCTTATAGAACATATACGTATACATACTGGTGAAAAACCATTTATATGTGATTATCCTGGTTGTACACATAGATTTGCTAGAAGATGTAATTTATTCGCTCATAAACGTGTACATTTAGATAAAAATCAACGTCGTCAATATCATTGTATTCATCCAGGATGTTGTAAAACATTTTTATATTCACGTAGTTTAACTGAACATATGAATGTTCATTTAGGTGAACGTCCATATGTTTGTGATTATTCAGGATGTGAAAAAAGTTTTACAAGTAAAAGTTATTTATATGCACATAGACGAATACATTTAGGAGGTGGAAGTGGAGGAGGATCAGGAGTTGATAAATCAACTAATTCAATGTGTTCTCAATCATCAATAAGTCGACAATATGATTCTGGTAATAATAATAATAATAATAACAATATACCACCTATACCAGTTACAGTAACTATACCAGTTCTTCAACCAATGCATTATCCATTTAATCAATCGATTATACCCAATAAACAGCAGCAACAACAACATCAACAAACACAATTACAACAACATCCTGTCCTGTCTAATACTAATATGAATATGACTAATCATTTACCAGCACATCTATTCTATCCTAATCAGCATAACTAAATTCAAATTTAAATCGATGAAAAAAAAAATCAATAAATTCAGTCATGTGATATAAATGATATTCGAAAGCGTTCAGTGTACTTTTTCATTCCTATTTGAATAATATAATATTATCAATGTATATCCAGTATTATTAATTGAAACTTTAATGCATAATATAGTCTTGAGTGTTTTATACGTTGTTATTTTATTCTCTCCAACCTAAAACGACCTCATATTATTATTACTATTATTATTGTTGTGCCTTGGGTTCCAAGTGGGACATAGGGCTTCAATAGCACGTCACCATTTCACTCTCTTCTCTGCAGTCTTTTCAAACCTGGCTCCACGACTCCTCAAAAGCTTTCATTTCTTCATTACACCATCTCCTCAATGTCATCTACACCTCGAACGACCAACTCATCCGTTCACATTTGGCTTCCACTCGACGGCCTTGTCTCATATGTGATGACTAATCCAACCCATCTCCACTTTCTTCCTCTGCATATCTGTTGAGTGATAGGTTGTTGGTTGGTTGGTTCGTTGCAAACCAGCCAGAGATCCTTTTTCCTTATTCTTATTATTCTGGCAATCCATCTCATCAATCTTCAGTGTCAATATCGAGTGAGCATAGCTGCCAGCTGTTCATGTATGTCTCCAGTTTCCTGGAAATGCTTTTCGCGTTACGCCTAGCCAACTCTCTCAACCATCACATAGAAGCACTGACTTATTTGAGTGAATTAGTGTTGGAAATCCGGATCTTGTTCACACTTTATGCTGAGTGGAGTGCAGTAGATCTCTTCACTGATTACTTCGGATTAATGAAGGAAGATCTATCTTTCCGATCGTGGTTGACTTTCAAATCCTCATCTGTGCCTCCACCGCCGCCTGTAGTTGAGATGATGTTGTTTAGGTAGGTAGAATGAAGAGACAACTTCCTTTACATTTCTCCCGTTCATAGTCATTGGTGCTTGTTGTTGTTTATTGGTGTCTTCATCACCTCTACCTCTGCCTTCTCGACGTTCACCTCAAGGAAGTCCGGTCTTCCTTCGCTGCCATGCCTCGCCTCTTCTGCCAACTTGTTGATTTTCGAGATCTGTAGATCTCCCAGTTTGTGCGACATAGGACATTAGATATAAATCATTATCGGCGAAATTCAAATCTTCTCACAGCTCCTCACAGTTTCTTGCATCATCCAGTAGAGTAGAGTCGACCACAGTCAGGAAGATGACCAGTGATAGTGGGTGGCAACCTCGTCTTACTCCTGCCCCCTATCTTCACTTCATGTGCATCACTGAGCTTCCCACTGTGTTTTCAATCACTTGGCATGTAGCATCATGTAGCACATAGTTAACTGTTGAGTGAGGTTGATTGAGGTTTGTGACACTAAAAGCGTAGTGTTGAAGCAGCTGGCTGTCAAACTACTCGTCAGTCGACGTTATCGAAGGTCTTTCCAGAGTCGATGAAGTTGAGGTAGAGTTGATTTGACTGGCATTCTGTACTCTGTTCTATGATGATGCGTAGCGTAGTGTTGCAATTTGATTCACACATGATTTAGTTTTCCTAAAGCCAACTAGCCTATTCCGGTCACAGTTAGTATCATTTATTACCTTCCCTAATCTAAGGATGATATTTTTTGTCTAACTTAGCTATAATTTCATTCGTTATCGTCATTCGACTTGATAAAACATCGAGAAAAATTGATCCAAATCTGATGGTTGTTCAAAATGGATAATATTATAAGGCAGTTAAGATTTATATCAAGTTGACTAATAGAATTCCAACGTCCTTGAATGGGACTCCTCAGCAGTGCGCACCCACGACCCCACCAGCAGGGATCGAACCCGCGACTTTCAGGTTCCGCGGCCAAATATGGAAATATGGAGCATTGGATTCTGACCCAGTGGCTCAATGGTAACGCGCTGGCCGCGGAACCTGAAGGTCGCGGGTTCGATCCCTGCTGGTGGGGTCGTGGGTGCGCACTGCTGAGGAGTCCCATACTAGAACGAAACAGCTGTCCAGTGCTCCCAGGTTTCCTTTGTCCATATGATAATTCAAGTGGTTTAATGTTATGAGTCACATAGAAGAATATCTTTACCCTAAACACCTTTTCAACACCAATCCAGTCAAGTCAGTCAGTGCTTCTATGTGATGGTTAAGAAACTTGACGCGTAACGAAAATAGCACTTTCAACAAACTATACACATTCATCAACAACTGCAGTCTACGTTGGCTCGTTGCTGAAGCTCAGATCAGATGGTCAGAATAATAAGAATAAGCAACAAGGAACTCTGGATGGCTGGCTGGCTGACTGCCTGCCAACGAACCAACCAACTAAGAAGGTATCGGTCAACAAATATGCAGAAGGAAGTGGAAGTGGAAATGGATTGTATTGGGCATACACTGAGAAGGCTGACTGGGGACATCACGCATCAGGCGAGACCGTGGAGTGGAACCTCCATGGGAAGCAACGAGTTGGGTGTTTGAGGTGAGGGTGACATGGAGGAGATCATATGTGTGAGGAAGAAATGAGAGCTTGTGGGCTGTCGTGGCGACAAGTTGAAGAGATTGCAGAGAAGATAGTGGAATGGAGACGTGCTACTGAAGTCGTATGTTCCACTACAAACTCAAGGGATAAATAAGCAGTAAAAAGAAGCCGAAAACCTACATCAGTTTTTAAAAGTCGTCTTTTCATTTTTTCAGTTAAAATTTCAGAAATTTTATAAGACCTTAAAAGTCTATGCAAACTTTCTCGGCTTGCCTCACTAAGTGAAAAAATCTATAAAGAGAAATGCAGTACTTGTAGCAAACCGACTACATTATTTCTTTATGGTTGGAAATAATGAAATACAATGCATTGTTTGATTGGGCACTTTTTTAAAGTCATCTCTGAAGTGATAGAAAACCTTGTTGCCCTAACTATTAGATCAGTGATTCATTAGCTGGCCAATGGGACATCGATACCAATCAGATTTCAGATTCCTCTTAATTACCAAGTTGTCATTTTTAAAAATGAACTACAATTAGGATTTATAAAATAACTGATTTCAGTCATTGCTCTTTTATTTGACCGAATAGTACTTTTCTATAGAATTTCGCCTAACGTATGGGTTACGAAATGGGAACTGTTGTTATACACCTACAACACTGACGCAAGACAATGGAATACTGAAGACTGAAATTACTGTCCCCATACTACTGAAAAACACAAAAGACCAGCCTAAAACAAGCGTAAAAACATAATACCCGTTGTTTAGAAGGAGATCGAAATTATACCTGTGCCTAAGTCACCTTCTGGATCAGATGTTATGTTTCAACCCATCGCTATAACTTCCTCTTTTTTGAAGATAACGGAGAAATTAATATAATTGTTTTCTTAGATCATACCGTCGTTGATTGGACCGAATTGATCGGTCTCTATTGGCATTTGGGCTCGTGTGCAGATGCCTCGATAATAACATCCAGCTGAGGAGTCCCAAATACGACGAAATGCGCCTCCTGGATTCCACTGCTAGCTACGATCCACCATCAATAGGATTAGGACAAAGAGACTGATCAATTCGGTCCAATCGACGACGGTATCATATAAAAACAATCGTGGCTCGGTGGTGTAGTGGATGACGCCCTGGCATTTGAAGCGATCGCTCTCGAGTCCGGATCTTGGTGGGAACAACATCATTCACTGGGAATCAGGTACATCCAGCTGACTGGTGAGTCCCAAATAGGACGAAATGAGCATCCTGAATTCCACTGCTAGCCACGATCCATCACTAGTATTACCTCTAATTATGGTTGAACAAGAATATTTAAAGCATATTTAACATGGAGATCAAACTGATCAATCAGTTGTCTGGCTGTCTGTTCTAACAATGGTTAGAACCCAGCAAAACACTAAAGTTCACATATGATGCTTTCAGTAGTCAGGGTTTGCCAACAAAAGTTATCATTAGTAATTTAATTAAGAAGCTATATGTCAGGCATAAGACATACATGAACAGCTGGCACTTATGCTCACTCGATACTGACACTGAAGATCGATGAGATGGATGGTCAGAACAATAAGAATGAGCAAAGAAGAACTCTGGTTGACTGACAGCAAACCAACCAACCATGAACCCATTCCCCAACAAATAGGCAGAGGAAGAAAGTGGAGATGGAGATGGATTGGATTGGACATAGACTGAGAAGACCATTTGGGGATATGATGTGTCTGATCGATCAGACCAAGTTTTCGAGTGGAACCCGAATGGGAAACGACGAGTTGGACTTGCTAGGCGAGGATGACATTGAGGAGATGGAGTGATGAAGAAATGAAAGCTTGTGGGGAGTCGTGAAGGCAGGTTGCAAAGACTGGAGAGAAGAGAGTGAAATGGCAACGTGGTAGTGAAACCCTATGTTCCACTAAGGACCAAAGAGGCAAATAATAAACAAAAAAATAATGTCATGCATAACTTATATCCAATCAGCATAAAGAAGTTTGCCACGGTAGACAATCTAATGAATAGAGAACACCTGCCTACTTATAAGCATGCATATCAGTAGTATATAGTTCAACATTGAGACTGACAAAAAGAAGAGGTTATAGTGAAATTCATGTGAGTAACTCAAATGATTAGTGAAATGAAAAGTTTTCTCCTTATCTAGGTTTTTTATTCATTGTCTCTACTGATATTCATGCCGTTTCTGAGTTAATCGATTTATCCATACAACCAGGAGCATTTTGGTTACTTTTATTACTAATCAGTCACTTACTCACTGCCTACATAATTCTGTCTTGATTTAATGTGGATCAGAATGAGACCTAAATGTATAATCAGTGAACTGGGATGCAGACACTTGTATACGCCTGATTCTTATGACATTTAACTAACATCTAAACACAGTCAAAAATGTTACTGGTTTGAGGAGTTGACTTTCAACCAATGGGTCAGGGGTCTGAACACCGCTCCACCTTCCAAGGTTTCGCCAGAAAGGTAGTACTATTAATAGCCCTCATACATCAGGTGTAACCTCGCCCGGTT